AACCGTTGTAGCCGGCGGCTCCCAGGTAGAGGCGGGCGCCGCCTCGGGCTTGCTCGCATGCCCTGATCGCGGCGCTGCAGTTGATGGCGTCGGGCTCCAGCTTCGCCTCAGAGGGGGCGTCGACGAGGGAGGTCGTCGAAGGGCGTCGTCGAGGGGCGTCGAGGGTGGGCAAGGGGCGTCGTCGAGAGTGGACGTCGAGGGGCGTCGTCGAAGGTCGTCGTCGAAGGGCGTCGTCGAGGGTCGTCGAGGGTGGGTTGTCGAGGGTCGCAGCGCTGCCACTGCTCTTGCCACTGTCCTCCACCGCCTGTTCTCGCGGGCTAGCACCACTGCTCGCACCACTGCATGCCACCGCCTGTTCTCGCAGACTTGCGCCACTGCCCGCTGCCACTGCCTCGCCCGCCACCGCCTGTTCTCGCAGGCCAGCACCACTGCTCGCAACACTGCCCGCCACCGTCTGTTCTCGCAGACACACTCCACTGCCCGCTGCCACTGCCTCGTCGTTGTGGCCGTGCTGTTCGTCGTTGTAGCCGCGCTGGTAGCCGTTGTAGCCGTTGTAGACGCTGTAGTCGTCGTAGCCGTTGTAGGCGTTGTAGTCGTGGTGGCCGTTGTCGCCATGCTCGTCTCGCCCCTGCTTTGCCCTTGCTGCCACTTCTCGCGCACGCATGGCCCACCATGTAGCTGACGACGTAACAGTGTCTGGCTCTTGTGTCGCCTCGCTCTTCTCGCACGTTGGCGTGACCAGGCTCAGCCCAGTGACAATGGGCTGTTGGTGTTTCTCACTTCGCGCACGCTCTGGTTCAGCACACGCTTCTCGCGCGCTCACGTTCTGGCTTGTGTCTTCGCCCTCGCGCCAAGAGGCATATGTGAGAATATCGGGAGCTACCATTGCCAAACACGTCTGCATTGCAGCTGTTGTCTTGGGAGGACTGGCACCTGGACAACGATATATGTTGTAGTCGCCTGCTTCCCACGCCTATATTTCCCGTAAGAAACGGTGTCAGACCTGCCGATGTTGGCGGCTATTGTCCGCCAGTCGTTCAGATCGATCTGTTTACTCTTCCTGGCCGCATAGGACAAACGGCAAACCGCGGCTCGGATGAGCCACGGTCTCGACTCGCGTCGGCTCTTCTTGATCTCGTGAGATTCCATGGCGTCAATACATCGCCCCTGCCCGCCTGCACCTGCGGCTTGAGCCAAAATGGCTACGGACTATCCTCAACCTCCTCCTCCTGCTCCTCCTCCTTCTCCTCCTCCTCCGCCTCCTCCGACTCCCCTTCAACCGCCTCCTCCTCCTCATGCTCCTCATCTTCCTCTTTATCTGGACAGAGGGGGATATGATTATGGTATCGCGTTCGCGTCCCCCAGAGGATCCCACGCAGCGCCCCCCCAACGATTGCCTCGCCTCGAGGGGATGAGGAGGAGGAGGAGGAAGGCGGAGGAGGCGGAGGAGCTGGAGGAAGATCCTAGCGCCCCCCCCCCAAAAAAAAAAGAAGCAGAAACATGACGAATGCCTCGCTTGCGCCCTGCTGGGAAAAAGTCCATCACGCCTCTGACCCCTCAACGCGACCCCCCTCTCCGCAGCCACCTCGTCCTCCTCTTCCTCCTCCTCCTCCTCCTCCTCCTCCTCTCCTCCTCCTCCTCCTCCTCCTCCTCCCTCCCCTCCCCCTCATCCCCCTCCCCCTGATCCTCAGTTCCTCCTCCTCCTCCTCCTCTTCCTCCTCCTCCTCCTCCTCCTCCTCCTCCTCCTCCTCCTCCTCCTCTCCTTCTGGGGGGCGCATGCGTCGCAGCAGTGGTGGTCTCGCTCCGCGACCGGTGGCGCCCCGGGGCCCCGCCAGGGCGCGGCTTCCCAGTCGGCAGCGAGGCAGCGCGCCGCGCCGCGCCCGGTGATGCGGCGGTGTGGCCTTCCTCCTCCCCTCCCCCCCTTCCCCCCTTCTCCTCCTCCTCCTCCTCCTCCTCCTCCTCCTCCTCCTCCTCCTCCTCCTCCCCCCTCCTCCTCCTCCTCCTCCTCCTCCTCCTCCTCCTCCTCCTCCTCCTCCTCCTCCTCCTCCTCCTCCTCCTCCTCCTCATCCTCCTCCTCCTTCAGTCGGCATCGAGGGCAGCGCGCCGCGCCACGCCCGGTGATGCGGCGGTGTGGCGTCGGCGTAGGGCTCGCTCCACGGCTGGTGGCGCCTCGGGGCACCGCGAGGGAGCGGTTCTATGGTCGGGGCCGAGGCAGCGCGTCGCGCCACGCGCGGTGATGCGGATGCGCGAGATCACGGTGGAAAGCCATGCCAAGAAGCACCTCGCTTGCCTCCAGCTTGCCATGGGTGTCTTGGGTTTCGTTTCGACGGTCTGGCTATGGAAAGCGTGACGCTCCCACACCAAAAATCAGTGGACGTCCTGGGGTCTCGTGGGTTTCTTGTGGTCGGGCCCCTACTTTAGCGAGGGTCTCACTCGTCCGCGATTGGTGGCGCTTCTGGGTTCCGTCACGGCGCGGGGACGCAGTTGCGTCGCATAGGCGGGGGAGCCATTTCTCGGTTGGTGGCGCCTCAGGGCTCGAAGAGCTCGCGATCGAGACAGATCGTCGCGCCGACGCGGGGGTCTCGCTCCGCGATTGGTGGCGCCGCGGGGAGGGAGGTGCTGGTGCCCCAAGTCACGACCCGCCTTGTTCCCACACCCCAGACTCCGTCCCCATCATACTACGAGCAGTAGCATCCTCATCATGAGCATCATCATCAGCAGCATCATCGGCAGTGTCATCATCGTCATCAGCGTCAGCATCACCATCATCATCATCAGCATCAGCATCATCGGCACCAGCATCAGCATCAACATCCTCATAAGCATCATCATCATCATCATCATCATCATCATCATCATCATCATCATCATCATCATCATCATCATCATTATCATCAGCATCAACATCATCGTCAGCAGCATCAGCTGCAGCATCATGATACTCAGCAGCAGCATCAGCACCATCATCATCAGCATCGGCATGATCAGCATGAACATCCTCACCGACATCATCATTAACAACAACAACATCATGATCATCAGCAGCATCATCATCAGCAGCATCGTCATCATAATGAGCAACATCATCAACGTCAACATCAGCATCGTCCCCATTATCATCTCGTCATCACTACCAGCAGCATCATCGGCATCATCACCATCATCATCGCCATCATCAGCACCAGCAGCATCATCAGCATCATCAGCACCGCCATCATCATTCCCCCATAATCAGCATCATCAGCAGCATCCCAGTCACCATCAGCATCCTAAGCATGACCATCACCCTTACCAGCATCATCAGCATTATCTGCATCACCATCATCAGTCATCACTTCCATCGTCATGTTCAACACCGTAAGCGGCATAATCGCTCCGTCACCAACATCGGCTCGACGATTGGCAGCTTCATGTTTATATGCGTCACTAGTAATACTACCATTAGCTTCAGCAGCATCGTGGTCATCATCTCTGTTGTTTTCCATACCCCCTTCATTGCCCATCATGCCATTCATCACGATCAGAAGTATCGGTGGTATTCTGAGCATGCGTGTTATGTTTGCGAGTCGTGTTATTATGGCGCATCCCGCCGTGACTCGCAAAAGAAAGCGTTGGTGCCCGAGAGCATGAGGAGGAGGATGGAAAGAGGAGGAGGGGGGGGGATGAGAGGAGAGGGAGGGCAGGGGAGAGGAGGGGAGAGGAGGGGGAGGGGAGGGGAGAGGAGGGCATAGGAGAGGATCGGGAGGAGCGGCGGGAGTACCGCCCGAGGGGAGGGAGATCATGAGCTCACGGGAGCCAGCGGAATTGCAGCAGCAGGTCGAGGCGGCAGGCAACCTCCATTGCCTTCTCCGTCCCCCCCCCTCCCCCCCCCCCCCCCCGGGTAGGTCCTCCTCACCTGGTCCTCTCCCTCACCCATGCCATGTTCCTCCCATGTCTTCTACCCCAGCACCCTTCCTGCATCTCCCCACATTCTTTTTCACCCTCCCCCCACCCCTCCTCATCCCCATCTCCCCCTCCCAACTCATTCGTTCTTCTGTGCTCCTGCTGCGCGTCTCCGTCATCCACCTTCTCTACATTCTCCTCCTCCCCCCATATGCTTCCTCCTCCTGTGCCTACCCTGCTCACAGAAACCCGTCGGCGGTTTCATCAAGGTCAGGGATGAGTTGGGCCCCTTTTCCGCCGCCTGCTCCCAAGGCCTCCAGGGGCCCGCGAAGCAAGTTCGGGTCCCCACGCCATCGTCCTACCGTGAGAGCCCAGCGGCTGACATGATGCGCGAAATTACGCTGCACGGCCTCACGCAGGACGAGGCCGTGGAGCTGGGGAGGGCGGCCGTTGCATGCGAATGAGGTCGCACACTTACGGTCGTGCACAGTTCTTCCTCCCTTTCCTCCTCCTCCTCCTCCTCCTCCTCCTCCTCCTCCTCCTCCTCCTCCTCCTCCTCCTCCTCCTCCTCCCGGTCATCCCCCACCCTCCACCCTTCTCCTCCACTTCATCCCCGTCCTCCCCCCACTCCCCCTCATGATCATCGTCGCCATCGTCATCGTCGTTGTTATCATCGTTCTCATCGTCGCCACCAACATCGTCGTCATCATGACCACCATCCTCATCGTCATCATCAGTATCATAATCAGCAGCAGCATCATCATGATCACCGTATTCGTCTTCGCCTTCGTCTTCACCTGCATCATCGATCCCCTCTCCCTCCTGCTCTTTCCCTTACCCCCCCCACACACCCACTCCTCGTCCTTGACCTCAGCCTTCTCGCCACCCACTTCTCTGCGCCCTCCCACTTCTATGCCTCTCCTTCCTCCTCTCCTCCTCCTCCTCCTCCCTCCTCCTCCTCCTCTCTGCCTCCCCCTCTCCTCCTCTGCCTCCTCCTCCTCCTTCCTCCTCCTCCTCCTCCTCCCTCCTCTCCTCCTCCTCTGCCTCCTCCTCCTCCTCCTCCTCCTCCTCCTCCTCTGCCTCCCCCTCCCCCATGCATCCTCGCCACGCCGGCAAAGGTGCACGCTGCCGAACTGGGACTGGGGCAGGTGGTGGCTCATGGTCGAGAAGGCCCCCTGCGCGGGTGCGGGGGCCCTGCCTGCTCCCCGGTGGGCGCGGGGGGAGGAGGAGGAGGAGGAGGAGGAGGAGGAGGAGGAGGAGGAGGAGGAGGAGGAGGAGGAGGAGGAGGAGGAGGAGGAGGAGCGAGGAGCGAGGAGCGAGGAGGAGGAGGAGGAGGAGGGGGGGAGGAGGAGGAGGAGGAGGAGGAGGAGGAGGAGGAGGAGGAGGAGGAGGAGGAGGAGGAGCGAGGAGGAGGAGGAGGAGGAGGAGGAGGAGGAGGAGCGAGGAGGAGGAGGAGGAGGAGGAGGGAGTATGAGCATGAGTATCGCCTCCTCACGGCGGAGGGTGAAGAACAAGACCCCGTCTGATGGCGGACTGTTGGGCTCCGCTGAGCCAGCTGACGAGGTCACGGGAAGAAGCCATAGATCTATGTATAATCGTGTCCAGTTTGTGCTGAGCCTACTTGCAAGACAGTGCCCGCGGTGATCTAGTTGCGGCCGATCCCGAAGGAGAAGAAGGAGGAGGGGGGAGGAGCCATCGGAGGGTCCAATGGAACTTCGAGGGGCCAGAAGGTTTCTGCATCGGCAACGCCACGCTGCGTTCGGAGGCCACTAGTCTGCGCGGCGTGTGGCGATTGATCCTCGGGACACCGCAGTGGTGCCTCGGGGTGATGTCGCGCGCATCCACATCAGCGTCCCTCGCGTTCCGCAGCGACATGCGGTCAAGAGGTTTTGGACTGCCTGCGGCTCCGCGGGTTCTGGCCCACCGCGCTTCGGCGCGACACGCTATCCGTGGCCCCGTCCCCGAGCGCCAACGTCCCGAGCCCTCAGGCCCGCGGAGCGGAGCAGCACGCCATCCGCTCGCGGGGGACATTGTGTCGCCCGGGCCGCCGCCGCGGCGCGCGATGCAAGAGCTCCTGACCGTGCAGGTGTGGCACGGGCACGCTGTGGACGTGCTGGCTGCTGATCAGAAAGAGGCCGTGAACCAGACCGCGGTGGGGTGTGAGGAGACCAGGGGCAGCACTGTCTCGCGAGCAGCGCTTGCGGGAATCGTCGAGCGCGAATGCGAAGCAGCCGGGTCGGTGACGATCACAGAGGCAGATGCCAGCAACACGAATTTCGAGGCGAAGCGGCGCATTCGTATGTTGCCGACCATCCGTGGTGTTGTGTCCTCGTTTTGCATCAGCAGCTCCCTGCGTCCTCACCTTTCTCTTCCCTCTCCTCCTGCCTAATTTCGCCCTCCGCATGTCAACTTCGGCACGCCTCTCACACGGTCCGTGGCCCCATAAAGGGGGCTCCACCTGAGGCGACAACGATTGTGTTCACACGCGGTCCCCCCGCACACTTCGGCACACCACCCACACGTTTAGTGGCCTCATAGGGAGCTCCACCGAAGAACCCAAGTGGTGAGTGCGCATGCAGCATCGTGATCAGACTGGTACACCGATCACACGCTTCGCGGCCCTATAGGGAGCTCCACCTAAGGCCCCAGCGGGTGCGTTCACATGGGGTCCCCCCGACCGTTTGGACACGGCCCTCAGGAGGTTCGTGGCAGCAGAGGGAGCCCAACAAATGCCCAAGTGGGTGCGTTCACATGGGGTCCCCCCGACCATTTCGGCACAGCCCTCAGGGGGTTCGCGGCAGCAGAGGGGGCCCACCTGATGCCTACGTGGGTCCCTCTCACGTTCTTTGGCCCCATACCGATCTCCACTGAAAGCCCCAGCGGGTGCGTTTACATGCGGCTTCCCTGACTATGCCAGTACACCCCTCACAAGCTCTGTGGCCACATTGGGAGTTTGGCATTCACATGGTTTCTGTTTGTGCGTTCACACGTGGCTCCCCCGCCCATATCGGCAAACCCTTCACACGCTTCGCGGCCTCATAGGAAGTTTCACCTAAGGTCCCAGTGGGTGCGTTCACATACGGTCCCCACGACCCGTTCGGCACAGTCCTCAGGGGTTCCGTGGCATCAGAGGGAGCTCCACCCAACGCCGCAGTGGATGCGTTCACGTGCGGTCCCCCCGACCACATCGGCACCCCGCACGCGTTTTGTGGCCCCGTAGCTTTCGCATGCCGTGGCCCTGTCCAAGTCGGCACACCCCTCGCACCTCTTTGTGGCCCCGCAGGGAGCTCCACCTGAGCCCCCAGTGGCAGTGGCCCAGTTCACATGCAGACTCTCCGCCCATGTCGGCACACCCCTCGCGCGCTGCTTGGCCCACAAGGGGGCTCCACATATGGCCCCCGTGGGTACGTTCGCTTGTGCCCTCTCCCGCCCACTTCGGCACACCCCTCGTGGGTGTTGTGGCCCCATGGGAAGCTCCACCCGAGGCCCCACTGGATGCGTTCTCACGCGGTTCCCCCAACCATCCCAGCACGCCTCTCACACGCGTCGCGGCCCCAAAGTTACCCCCACCGAAGGCCCAGTGAGTGCGTTCACGGAAGGCTCCCCGCCTATTTCGGC